CTTGCCTTTGGGCAGGATGCAGCATGCACCTTTTTAACAAGGTGGCTGCTCAGTCAGTAACCACTTGCAGGAGTGGGCCTGGGCCCCAATTACAGGGCAGCCATGCTGTGCCATCATTGCCAGCAGGTGAAGAATCAGAATCAAAGAGGAGGCAACAGGGATGGCAGCCTCCTGCTTGCAGGGTGGTCCGCCTTTCCTGATAGCTCTACAAGAGCAACAGCCTCCAGGGCCAAGACCTGCTTCCTGGTGACAGGGAGGTCCTGCTGTCCAAGGCTCCCTCAGCCACAATTTGGCTCATATGTGACGGATGTAAGGGCAGGGCGGTCACTGTGTCCAGAGTCCCTTTCCTTCGCACCTTGTTTTCCTAGTAGGCTTTCACCTCGCTTCACCGCAAAGTCTTCTGAGGACTGTAAAAACAAAGACCAAGACATGGTGTAAGTCAACACAGCCCTAGTGCATGTTGAGTGGCTGCAACCTCTCCCTTTTAAGCCACTGTGAGAGAAGATATGTCTACAATCCCCAACTTGTCTCCCTCTACCTTTACCTGGACCTGCTGCCACTCTGTGCTCTGTCCGCAGAAAGCAGGGAGGGCAGACATCAGCGGGCTCGGATGCCGACATCCCAGCCAGCCAGCAGAGTGCGATGGGCCAGGACTATGGACAGAACTGCTATTAACAGTGACCACAAGCACTGACAACCCTGCTTACAGGGCGGTGCTCCCTCCACACAGCTGGCTGCTGGGGCATGAAGCCCAGAGGAAATCTCCAAAGCCCTGAATGCCAGCTGACAGCTGCCTCAGGCAGTCTGGATCAGGGGTCAAAGCTGCCTTGTCTGTCTGGAGCACAAGAGGGCCACAACTTCAGCCTCCTGTCACAGAACACAGAGAGCCCAAAGGGCAAAATGAGGCCTGCCCCCAACCCGGCCAGAAGAGGTCGGGGTGCAGCCCTGCTTACAGGGTGCCAGGGGAGGCCGTCTCAATAGTGCCAAAGCACCAGAATAGAGGACCAGAGACCTGGATCCAAGTTACAGGAAGGTCATGAAGCCTCAGGGTCCCAACATGCTCAGTATCCTCCACAAGCCTGCAACCTTCCCTGCAATCTGTGGGTATCGTCTCTGGCCAGCCTGAGTGGAATGAGATCCAGAGAATGAAGGGGACCTGCACCCTGCTTACAGGCTGCAGGCCAGGTGTGGGGGTGCAAAAGTACAGCTGGCTAAGTGCCAGGGCACTCATCTCCAGGAACTCGGATATGGAATACATAGCCTTCTCTCATAAAGGAGGGCAGGAACCCTTCATGCAGGGTACCAAGTGGCCACAAGAACATGCTAGCTACCCGAAGAGAAGGGGCTCCTACCCTGAGATACAGGGAGGTTGTGTTATTAAAGTATTAGAAGGGGAGGCCTAATGCTCACCCAGGCTAGGAGGCACAGAAATTTATAGCGGTGCTTAATACCCTGGGTGAGGAGGTGGGAAGAGAAGGCTACGAGTATGCATCTTTCCCCTTTTCCAGCACTGGGAAGAAAATAAAGTATGCTACAGTGATTTTAAGAACAAAAAGAAAATAACAAACACTTTAATTCCCAGGCACTCCTCTCTCTCACCATCCACACTCTCACAAGGGAAAAAGACTGTTCCCAGGCTGGAAAGGAGCTCTCTGCTGCAAACCTCTTGACATCGAGCCTTCCACTGGAAAATCCTCCTCTGATCCCAGGGGACAAGAAGGCTGAGACCGGCATCCTCCTTACAGGGCACAGGCCATTTGACTAACCAGACTGCCCTCAGAGGGCAAAAGGGAAGGCCCAGAGCCCTGCTTACAGGGACAGCCATCAAGCCAGCCAAAGGAAAGAGTTGTCAAAGGTATACTGAGACCTGCACCCTGCTTACAGGGTGGTCCACAGCCAGCCAAGGGTAAAATCTGTCTCCAAAGGCACAGGGAGACCCAGACCCTGCTTACAGGGTGGTCCACAGCTCTGCAGAACCCAGTCCTCCACCAAGAGGCACGGGACTCGCACCCTCATTACAGGGCAGCCTAGGGGTCTGGACATGGTTTGCCAGGCACAGATGCAGGGAGGACAGCTGCCTGGACACAAGGATCAGAGAGGAGGCCACAGGCTTCAACCCAGCCACGGGAAGGTCATCAAGTTCTGGGTTCTGAAGAGTTTGCTGTCACCCCACGAGACTCAGCCCATCTGCAAGGCCGTCCTGCTGCACAGCACTGCAGACTGCCCATCTCTCAGGCCAGTGGAAGGAGGCTATTGGGTTACAGGACTCCTCTCCAACTGGCTGGCTTTGGCAGTGCACGTAGTCTCCCAATTACAGGATACCCAGCGCTACGCACGTTCAAACTGCCTGTCATTCTTGCATGGTAGGAGGCAGTACACGCCTTGCTTATAGGGGGCTGCACCACTGTCTGGCAGCTGGCCTAGACCCCGCTTACAGGGCTGCTGCACTGCACAAGACCACCAACCAGATCCACGGCTTTAGAAAAAAGGTGGCCATGACAAACGCCTTGCTTACAGGGTTGTCCACCTGCTACCTGACTGCTGCACAAGTGCAACAGCATCAAGGGCAGTGTCCCTTTTCTGGGTTACAGGGAGGTCACCCAAAGACTCATGAAGAGAAAATGTGGCTAATACATGATCTAGACCTAAGGGCAGGGAGGTCACTCTGTCCAGAGTCCCTTTCCTTTGCATCCCATTTCTCTGGCTGGCTTCCCTCCTTCCTCATCTCTTCCCTGCTGCTTCTCCTTCTGGTTCTTCCGAAGACTGCAAGAACAAAGACTGAGACCAGCTGTAAGCGAACAGAGCCAGAGCACACATCTAGCAGCTGCAGCTTCTCCCTTTTGAGCCCTTACATGAAGGGGTTTCAATGCGCTCAGTATCTTCTGGAAACCTGCAATGTTCTCCGTAACCCATAGCCAAGACTCTGGCCAACCTCACAAAGTAGCCCAAGATGAGGAGAAATAGGGACAGGAGACCTCACCTAGCTCCCAGACCAGGGGGCACATGAGGCTGCACCATCCCAAATCTCCTGAATCCCAGGGTATACAGCTTAAGGATGAGAAGTGGACACTGACCATCTCAAAATTCTCTTACTTCTGCCTCTTGTTAGGCTGGCATGGTTTTCTTCCCTCCCGGGCAGCTCACTCCTACTTGCTTGCCTTGTTGTCCTTCCAGGGGCCATGTGGGTTGACCCCTGAAGGGGATGCATTTTGCATGATTTGGGGCTGCAGCCTCAGGTGTCCGGTCCATTCTCCGACATTTGCCTCCCGGAAAGCCAAGCCATCAACGCTACCACTAATCCCTTTTCAGCAAGGGACTCTGCATCTTGTAGGCGTTCAGCACGCAGTGGTTACAGGACAGCCACTGTAGAAATGAAAGCAGGAAGGGGGTGGGGGAATTTGGGTGTGAAATGACAGGAGAGGGGAGAAACAAGTGGGGGAGCATGAACTTGGAGACAAAAGAAACCAGACACCAAGGAAGTGCCTGACACATCAGGTTTATTAGTCTACAGCAGGCCACCGCACACCTGCTTCTCTGTCGTCTTCTCTGCTTGGGGTCACGACAGGCTGCACTGGTGGTACGAAGACACCAGGGTGGGGGAACCACTCCCCGGCCTGGTCACGCTGAGCACCAAATCTGACGGCCACCCCTCGCATCAGCCTGCAGCGGGACCCTCAGGCAGGTACTGGGCTCCATCCTGTTGTGACCTGGAACGAGGCCATTGCCTCTTGAGAAGCCGCCTTCTCTAGAGTCCCAATGACTCCTGCTGACAACCAATGTCCAGAAGCCAGGCCTGCACAAAGGATGGCTTACTCTGCCTTCCCTCCGCCCACCCCTCTGAACATGGTCTGCTGTTGTGTGCGTCAGCCCAGCCCTGCTCATGGGTTGACTTCTTCCACTGCCTTTCCCTGGGACACCTGAACAGGACGCAAGAGCCACACTGGCGCACAGAACAAACCATGCCTAGCATGGCACAGCTCAGGGCTTCGCCGTTTGGTAGGGAAACTGAGTGGCGCCACGGGAGGCTAAGGCGGCTCCGGCTGCAGCCCTCCTCACTCGCAACGCTCACACTGCCCGGGCGAGGGCGAGGCCCCCCCTCACGGCCGCCCTCTCTCCAGCACCTTTCTCTTGGATGTGCTGGGCCTCAGCTCTCTCCACACTAACCCCCGCCCGCCACCCCCTCGGCTCACCCCCTGCCTTCACCCAGCAGCAGAGCTGGGCCTCAGGCGCCTCCTCCCTGCCCTGGTCACCCCCTTGCTGCTGCCCCAGGCCCTGCCCCTTCCCCTCAGCCATGGCTTGGCCCTGCCCCTTTCCCCTCAGACCCAGCACTGCCTTTCCACTGGGCCCTGCCCGTGCTCACCCCCTTGCTGCTGCCCCAGGCCCCGCCCCTTCTCCTCAGCTTCAGTTTGACCCCACCCCCTGTGCCTCAGTGAAGCCCCCCCCCCCCCCTCAGACTCAGCAGTCCCACCGTTATTTCACCCAGGCCCCTCCCCCTTTTCCCTTAGCCCCAGCTCGGCCCCGCCCCTTCGGTGCTTCTCGTCTTCCCAGCCCCACGTCACCCCCGCGGCCCCTTCCCCTCCATGCCGCCTGCTCTCCCTTGTGGGCCCTTGGGCAGAGGTTCCCGGGCCCGCTGCTTCCTGCCAGGCCCTAGCGCCGGCTCACTGCACCTTGGCCTGCCCGGCCCCTCATGCCTACCTCGAGGCATCGGCTCTGTCCTGCTGCCATGGCCTTGCACCACTGTGGGACCGGCGTGGTCCAGGCCCCACCCCTTCTGCTCATCTGGGCCCCACCCCCAGCCCTGCTTGGGCTGGCCCTGCCCCATCTCTTCCCCACTGCCGGCCCCCTTGGCAGAGCAGGATGTGTGTGTCTTGTTCATACCTGTAAAAAGAGAAGCAGTTGCAGAACTGGATAGATGAAGGAGTGCATATATAATTAGAGGTGTGAGGGACTAAAGAAATGTGGAGATAAATGAGTAAAGGAATCAATACATCTGTGTATAAATGCATCCATGCTCTGTCTCTCCACTTAGAATGCTAGCTGACTTCTTCAGCTGTCGCAAGACTATCTCCTACAGGGCCTGCCTAGCACAGCTATTCTTTCTCCACTTTGGAGGAGCTGAAATCTTCCTGCTCATTAGCATGGCCCTTGACAGGTACGTGGCCATCTGTAAGCCACTACGCTATGCCACCGTGGTAAACAGAAGGGTCTGCTTGGCCTTAGTGGTGGACGCCTGGGCAGGGGGATTCATGCATTCCATTATCCAAGTCACCCTCATTGTTGCTCTCCCCTTCTGTGGCCCCAACAAGCTGGACAACTTCTTCTGTGACATTACCCAGCTGATCAAGCTGGCCTGCTCTAACACCTACATCTTGGAATTCATCATGTTCTTCAACAGCGGCCTGGCCGCCTTCATGTGCTTCCTCCTCCTGCTGATCTCCTACAGGGCCCTGCTGGTCCAGCTGAGGGCAAGCTCCTCCCATGGAAAGAGCAAAGCAGCCTCCACCTGTGTCACCCACATCATCATTGTGTTTGTCATGTTCGGCCCAGCCATCTATGTCTACTGCCGGCCCTTCCGTAGCTTCTCCATGGACAAGGTGGTGGCCGTGTTCCACACCATGGTCTTCGCCCTCATGAATCCCATGGTCTACATGCTGAGGAATAGGGAGATTCTCAGTGCTATGAAGAGGCTGCTGGACAGATCTGGCCTCTGGAAAGGAAAATAGAAGAATGCCAGAATAATAGAAATGCAGAGATCAGAACATTTTTGTTGTGCTGGGCAAGGTTTTGTTTGAGTTGTACTGGAGCAGCACTTTAATCATGGTATAGGTTCTGCAAATTAACCACGGAGCTCCTCTGAAGTATGCTGGAAATTAACTTTTAGAAACTTAGTATCTGTGGAGTACAGTGATTCTTTACACTGTGGGTACATTACACACGCGCTTTAAGGCGCAGTAGCCTATTGTACTGCACATTAACTTGTCATGTAAAAACCCATGCAATTACACTAATGCACAGTAAAATAGGCTACTGTGCATTATGCATCACTTGAAAAATGGCATTTTTCATACTGCACATTAGGGCAGCTTAATGTGCATGTATTTAGTACCTGACATTGGAGGTACTAAATCTAGCGTGCATTAAAAAAAAAAAAAACAAAAAAACAAAAACACATTAATGCAGGTTTTAATGGTGCAGATCCTATGGTCTAATTTTCTGGGTCCATAGAAAAACTTTGGAATAAATGTATTATCCATGAAGTGATCTATAATATCGATGGACAGGCTCCACTACAGCGGTATAGAAACACTGTATTAACTCTATAGCAGGGTTTTTCAACCCCCGGTTGACAACCCCCTGCTCTATAGTATCTATGGAGTAGCTATAAATTAATTTGGTATAAGCCAGGCAGTAACTCTATATTAACTGTGGAGTAAGTCTACATCACCTGCGGGGCAATTCTGTTACCTCTGTAAATATATAGCCCCAAATCCTATATGGCTAATTCTTGTTCAGGCTATTACAGAAAGGTGTGTCACCTCATGACCCTTAATCCTAGTTCATCCTAGAAAATGTGTAGTTCCTCTACTGCTCCTGCAAAGGCTGATCCTATTTTGGCCTGCAGATCCATAGTAGTAGAAATATCCCTACTAAATGTACTGCCACTCCCTTTTGCCTAGTAGCCAAGTGCTTAGAGCACTTCTGGAAAAGATGGGAGTCTTAAGGCCTGCAAGAGGGAACTTGACTCTTGCAAACCTTTCCTCTTGGTGGGCCAGTTTTAAGGGGAGGGATAGAGGATGCTCTGCTCCCACCATTTGGAGGAATTCATCTGAGAGGTGGGGGACACAAAATTTGTGCCACAATAACTGTGTGGCAACACATTAGTACCTCTGGATTGTTTTCCTTTTATATCTGGAATGAGCTGGTAGCACCCAGAGAGTAACACTCTAGTGACGCTATGGTCAGAAAGGCAAAGTCTGAGAGCTGTGGAAAGTGGAAAAGAAGGTGGAACTGAGTGTGAGGTTGGCAGGGACACTGGTTGGATGAGGAGCAAAATGGAGAGGATTTTCCAACCTCCCCCCCTCAAATAAAATAATAATGTTTGCATTTTATTAAGCCATTGTCAGCGCACTTCCCCAAGCAGCCAAAATGAGGATGAGCACACTGCTGTGGCAGTTTAGGCATAGTAATATCAATGAATGATGGGATTTTGTGCTGGTTAGGAATTATTATGCTGTAATTGCACTGCCCTGTAAAGCTTTTTATCAGCCTTTTCCACAGCATCCTAATTTTGCCTCAAACTTCGGTTACTGAAGATACATTCAATATGTTGGCCTGTGGAAGTAACAGTAGGAAGCCCCAGACAACAGGAAGTGAGCAGGGACAGATCCATAGACAGTGTGGTGGCATGGCTGCAGACTTCACCCCCAACCTGTGGCTGTGCCCCCAATGTGCAGTGAGCTCTTGCTGGCACTTCAGAGCAGCTCCTGCTGAGAGCTCCACGTGTGCCATGAGCTCATCCCCTTCAGTGGTGTGCAAAATGAGCTGTCTTAACTAAGAGATGTAAAATGAGCTCTTTTAACTTATCCACCTCACCTTATCACTGCAATCCTGAATCTGCCCACGGTAGCTAGACACAAGTCAATGATGTGACTCCTTTAGAAACTCACACCTCCCATGGATCCTCCTGGAACTAATTCAGACAGGTTCTCAGAGGAAAGGAAGCTTCTTGAGGCCTCTTGTAGACTTTCTTGTCTCTCCCAGATATGCTATAAAGGTTAGAAACACACGAGAAGTAACTTTAGGAACAGACTTATCAGGCTTGGCCACAAGTAAAATTTAAGTCACTATTTAATTCTGGGTACAGTGGGTTGCATCACGACTGATAATTCTGTCTCCTTCAGCTCTCCTTTGGAAACCAGATTTCAGTGTTCGAGTGCACATGAATAAGCAAATGTAATGCTGATTAGGAAATGGAATAGGCATCTCATTGTAGTTCCAGTATTTCAAACTTTGTTTCTGGGTCGATGTGAGAAGAAAGGTGCTTCATTCAGAAAAGGTAGGACACAATGCCAATGGAAAAAGAAAACTTGCATCGAAAGCAACATATTTCTTTTAGAACTTCAATGCGCTCCAAAAAACCTCCCCCCTCCGGGGCATCATTTGGACTGGCCCAAATAAAGTTTCAGCATTATCAATAAGGGATGCCTTTTTTTTTTTTTTTGCATCAGATGAATGCAAGGCGCTTGGACTCTTGCACTCCTTTCTAGCTACTGGACGAGCTTCCACAGGAGCAATGGAGATCTCGCCTAGGCTTTTCTAGTTCATCACCTGGGACTTCTTCAGGCACTTGGAGTTGTGGGTTCAGCTGCCCCTTCCCTGGTGGAGTCTGGGGCCAGCAGCAAGAAAATAGAAACTCCTTTCTGGAGGCTCCTGCTCCCAGGGTAACACCCTTCTTTTCGGGCTGCTTTGCACATTGTTTCATGCTTTTCTCTGCGTTCACTTCAAAATGTTTCTGGAGTCTTGATATACATGGAAGTGTTCAGCTAGACACCAAAGTTTCAAATGACTGCTATCATACATATGCAAGGAAATAAGTGGACAAATCACTCAGAGCAATATTTATCTACTTTTTTGAAGTCACAGAAGATTTTCAACTTTTTAAATCACTTAACCAAGTAATAACATCTACACAATTGTAAAGAAACAAATGCATTTCATTTCCTTTCATTACTAATGGACCTCCAAGTAGTTGTATAAGAGTTAACACATATACAAACGTTTACTATGCAATGCACAATAAATATGTTTTTTTTACAGTATGCAGGACTCGCTCGGTGGAATCATCTGATCTTTGTTAAGCAGGGATCTGATAGTCACGTTTGCCTTTAGACATTAACATCTATGAAGAAAAGATTTATCCTTCAGTCCTACTATTAGATCTGCAAGTCAAGGCAGCTGAATTTCTCGGGAGCATCTAGACATTATTGCAGCTGCAGCATTGCTTTCCCTATGCAACAGAGACATCATGCCATGTGCACGGCTACAGGTGCAGCAAGCAGGCTGTCAGGAGCCCCACTGGAAGAATTATATGGCTAATATCTTGGGCACTACACTGGGTGTATAGCAAATTTCAAGAAAAGGTAGATTTCCAAGAAAAAAAGTTCATGGGGGTGAGAAGGCTCTGGTCAGCAAAAATCGTGAGCAGGAGGACGGTGTTCCTAGCTAGAATGACAAAGATACAAGAATAAAAACAGTACAAAGAACAGGGGCTGTGTCCGAGTTACATTGTCAAGAAGCATCCCTTTGTTCCCTAAAAAATCCACTTTAAAAATAACATGGTGGGGTTCAATTCTAAGAGACTGCAGTGTCCACACAGATTTCAGTGGGGTTTGTTGTTGTTGGGTTTTTTTTTGTTTTGTTTTTTTTAAAGAGAATTGTGAGCATTCATATGATATGACTAAAAGTTTTCAAGTATGTATTTGCTACTTTATTGGCAGGGATAAGGCAAGGATAGTTTGAGAAAGTTCCCACAAAATAAAACCGTTTTCCCACTATTCCAGAAGCTTGCCTCCAGAAATTAGTTGTTAAATGCTAGTTCTTCTTGCACAAGCAAATCCATCGCTAACATCTGGAAACACAGAAGGTATCAACATCACACAAAATCAACAAGATGCCTCTCTCAACTTGCCCTCCTACGTGGATAGACATTTTCCTAGTTGAAGAGTTGTAACTCCTAAGCAAGCCACATGAAATCCATGCAAGTAGATTCAGTTTTTTCATTCCGGTAGATGAAAACAAAACTTAGCCAGAGATTGCCTAGTAAAATCCACCTCTGAAACCCTCTTCAGAAGGCCACATGTTCAAGGCTTGACATACAATCACACTCGTACTCTTATTTCCCCCCACGAGCGCTCTTCCACCTTCTTGGTAACAGGAGCTAAAAATTACGGAGTGAAATGAAAAGAATGGACTCCCGTCCTGAGCTGCAGGTCCCTACTTGTCTGGCATCTGTCAAAGAAAAGAAAGGTCTCTTTTTCCTTAGAACTGACTCAATTATATGAAAGAGCAAGATCTCCTTGAATGCAATGCATCAGGGACATTAGAATTAGTGAACTGGAGTTTGACAATAATAGTATTGTTTTGAAAGGGAGTTAACAATCATAATGACAGTTATAACCGCATAGGAAATGTGTGTAGCCATCCTTATGCAGTCCCTAGTGGTTGGAGAGGGTGATTTTATTTAGAATTAAGGTCCCAACAGAAACACACTTGATTCTCCAACATTTCAGGAAAAAGGGAGTTTGGCATTTCATCTCACTGGAAACCAAATCAGAACTCTGAAAACAAAAGCACCCAAGGCTAGATTCTAGTTCACCTATTGGGTGTCTAAGTCTATCTAACATGCCTGGGACAAAGTACAGACAGTCAAGAAGCCTGAGCCCAAATCCATTCAATCTTTGCAGGTTAGTCCAAGATTGACCTGGTAAGCAAGTCAACAGCCACTTATCGTAAAATCAATTAAGTCTACATCCATCCAGTTTTATCTTCAACTGGGTTTAGCCATGTTGAAAGCAGTTGATGTGCACTGAATGTCTGCCGAGTTACTGATTTGAACCAGTTTCTAATTGCGTATACCGGTTTGTGTGCAAGTTGTGTCCCTAGCCTGGGTGTCCAAGTATGATTCCAAGGTATCCGCCTCAAGTACCTGATAAGCCATATTACA